CAGGGACACGGAGTGAATAGGGCAGATTCAGATCCCTGCCCTGGAGGGTGGCCCTTCTAATAGGGAGCCAGGAAAGACACAGGATGAGAAGGTCAGCGTTGTTAGAAGGCAACCATGTTTGGAGGGTCATAAGGCAGAGAAGGAGGAAAGAGATTGGAGAGGTTTGTCATCTTGGGTGGGGGCCAGAGCAGACCTCCTGGAGAAGGTGACACTTGAACAGACCTGAAGGAGGCGAGGGAGGGAGCCTGCAGGAAGAGAGAAGAGCCAGTGCAAAGACCCTGAGGCAGAAGCCCAGAGTGGCTGGAGGAGAGTGAGTTGAAGTCAGAGCTGGGGATGTGGTTAGCTGGGAGCCATAGATGGTTCTGAGGAAATGAGGGCTGAGGTCCGGCTTTACGAGGGTCAGTGTCGTGGGGGAAATCAGGCTTGGAGGTAGCTTTTATTTTTTCTTTTTTTGGTGGAAGCTTTTTAATGTTAATATCAACCCTGGAATCCAGCACATGGTTCTAAAGTGACAAGGAGCCCAGTAAAGCGGGCTGTGAGGGGGATGAGCCCAGCAGGCTCCTGAAACTTCCTCTTGGTTTCTGCTGCCTGTTGGCTTCCTGGGGAAGAAGTTGTGGTTTTCAGGGCGCCTGGGTGGCTCAGTCGGTTGTGTCTGACTTCAGCTCAGGTCATGATCTTGCCGTCCGTGAGTTCGGGACCCGCGTCCGGCTCTGTGCTGACAGCTCGGAGCCTGGAGCCTGCTTCGGATTCTGTCTCCCTCTCTCTCTGCCCCTCCCCCGCTCATGCTCTGTCTCTCTGTCTCTGAAAAAATTAATAATAAACCTTAAAAAAAAAAAGAAGAAGAAGCTATGGTTTTCTGGCACCGTCTGCACATCCTGCCGGTGAAGGAGTTGGTAGAAGGGGAGGCTGCCCCTGGACTCTAGGGGCCATAGCCGGCAGGTCCTGGTCCCATAAACACAATCCCAGGGTGACCTGGCCCTGACTGGGGAGGAGGCCCAAGATGCAGGATGAAGTGTCAGGTGGCATGGAGTTTAGAAGGCTTCCCTGAGAGGTAGCAGGCCCTGGAGGAGGTGGACCAGGGCCTAGAAGAGCAGGGTGCACAGGGGAGAGGGCCTGTGTCCCGGCCCCCAATCCCTTCCCCGTGGCCGTGCTCCTGGAAGGGGGGTCGTTTCCGGTGGGTGCCGAGCCCAGGGCCTTGAGCCGGATGAGAACTGAGGTATGCTGTGGGGGGTTGGGGGACTGTGCCATTTTTGGTGGCCGCTGCCGGAAGAGCAGTCAAGCGTTTCCTCTGGTCCCTGTGGAGGGCTAGAGCGTGACTGTCCTTGGGAACTGGGTCAGCTGATGGGGGCGGGGCAGGGGCTGTGATCCTAGATCCTCCAGCAAGTGTCCTCATGGCCCCTGTTCCCCAGGGCCAGTGCCCATGGTGGAGGTGGTGCTCGGTGATCTGAGCCCACAGAGTCCCCCTGACCTGAAGCAGAGAGGTTAACAGCCTGCCGGTGGCCTCACAAAGGCCACGTGACTTGAGAGCCACCACCTGGAGACAGATTCTCTGAACTCCGAATCCCAGCTCCCCCACCGAGCTTGGGCCAAGTCACTTTACCTCTCCGGGCCTCCATTTTCACATCTGTGGTACGGGCATCATGCAGATACCTGCCTAAGGTGTTCGCTCTCGAGGGGCACAGGGGACCACACACAGGGCTTGGCTAGAGCCAGCAGGGGCCGAATGTCGGCCACGGTTTATTAGGTCACGGAGGTGGGGTGGCGGCCCCCCTTGTGCTCACTTCTTTCTGCCTTGTGTCTGGGGAGAGATTCTAGACCTGCCCAGCTCCGCCCCCATCCTTTGTACTGATCCTTCGCAGCGGACGGTATGTCTGTGCTGGGATGTGTGTAGCCACGTCTCCTGCTGACCGTGGAGGCGATCTCTAGTTCTCATCTTGGCCTGTCCGTCGCAGTCCAGTTCTTTGGGCTGTTTGCCAGCGTGATTTCCTTCCATCTCTTCAGCGTCACTGCAGAGCCACGGTCTCTGAGCCTGCAAGCCGCCCCCAGCCCAACATTTACTATGAAAATATGCACAACGGGAAAAGTTGAGGAATTGTACAGCGAACGCCTGTAGGCTCAGTACCTACATCTCAGGATGAACGCATTTTATTCTTGCCTTATCCCGTGTCTGATGGGACCACCGCTAATTGGTAGTCCCTTCCCTGTGGCCCCGCACCTCGGCATCAGTATGGCTTGTAAATACCCTGGGCTCAGAAGGCATGAAGAGGCCTCCTGTGTCCACATGAGACCCTGCCCAGAAAGCGGTTCTCCTGAGCGGTTCACGTCTAGGTGGGGGACCCTGTGAACAGCCAGATGAGGAGAGACCGTGAGACGGGCTTTGGTGAGGCCACAGTGGTGTCTCCCTCTCCATACTGTGCCACATGCCTTGGGGAGGAAGGACAGATGGGTCCCATGGATGTGCGTCTGGGCTCTTGGCAAGCTGGAGAGTGCTGGCAGCTCCGACCCCTCTAGGACAGTGGCTTCTCTTTGACCCACAGCAAGGGAGGTTCTAACATCATGACTCTGGACTCAGTCTCACGTCTAACAGCAGAGCGGAAGCTTCATCACATGGGCACCCCCCACGGTCTGGTGACACATGCCAGCATTTCCTCTTCTGTTCATCAAAAAATCACAGATGCTGGTTACACCCACCTGTTGGTTTTTTTGTTTTGTTTTTCTTGGAGTTTGTCACGATGCGTGGTTTCACAAAATACTTCACAGAGAGTTTCCATCCCCCAGGGACAGAATCTTCACTGGTTTTGTTCCTTGAGGAACTCAAGGTCTGGTGGGAGACTCGGCCTGTAGAAGCGGCCCCCCCCCCCC